GCAGCTGAACAGGAAAAGCATACAATCAGCTTACTCTCCTGGCAATCAGCATACAATCCAATTCGCCCAATAACGAGACGACACTTCGTTTTGAGGTCAAGCAGAACTGACTGTACTGGCACATACAGCCTCTTTTATTCCCAATCCACAAACATAGCACTGTCCACAGGGTTTTGAAATACAACCAATCAATCCGTACAATACACACAGACACTCCCACACAAAATCCCCCCCTCTGCCTGTGATATGATTACGGAACACAATGGGTAATATAATTATCGCAGGCAGAGAAATACAGTTTTTACAAAATATTAATAACTTCCAAAACATACATGCCATTCACATAAAACATACATTTTCAGAATCAGCATGCTTCAAATATACATATACTCAAAAATCAGGGCAATCGGTTCATAGGTTAAAAAGTTAAGGGAAAGTCCTATTTGACAAAATGAAGCATGGTTTTTCTGCCCAAAACCAGTTCCACAGAGTCTTCTATCCTGGAGATAATTGGGAAGTAATCCAATTATCCCCAAGGACAGAGGCAAAACTCCATTAGCCACATGGCAGTAAAAAGACAGTAAAAGACATAAAATTACATACTGTTACATTCATCACATAGAACATACACATTCTACCTATCCCCAAATAGCTTAGATCTGAGCGCACATTATTACCGGATGGCGCTCAGATCACATGCATACAGTTCAATCGCCATGGAGCCAAAGTCTTTCCCATAGTCTTTCGGTATACGAATGGTCTCCATGGCTTAGCTATCTGGGGTACCACTGCTCCCATAGGGAAAATAAAAGCGGACCAAAGGGGGGGTGCGGTACTAAGGGACTGGGGGGGAACACTAAGGGATAGGGAAGGGGGGGGACAGGAACACTAGTGGGGGGGTGGGAGGAACATTAGGGGGAATGGGGGGAACTAAGACAGGTAAGGGGGGAAGAGGAACACTAAGAGACGGGGAGGGAAGGGAAAAATAACACTAATGGGGAGAAGAAAACTAAGAGGGGCACTAAGAGACAGGTAAGGGGGGGAGAGGAACACCAAGGGGCGGGATGGAGGGGAGATGAACACAAAGGGACAGGAGAGGGAGGAGAGAGTAACACTAAGGGACAGAGAAGGGAAAGGAACAGCTGTGACATCATAGACCCATCAGGTGATTTATGAAGGGATAACAGTTTGTGTTTCACTTTTAGAGAACCTTTATCAGAAAGCTTGTAAGTGTGGAGATACTTACCTTATCCAGGGGCCGGCCGGGGTCTCGAGCAGTCCGGCTGCAACACGCTCAATCTTCCCTTCTGAGCGGGCTGCGTGCACTGACAGCAATGAACGGTCACGCGGCCTGCCTGACACTAGGAGCGCGGCTTGCGTCTCGAGTTCGCTTTTAAATGGGCAGTGGGAGCCAAAAGTAGATTCAGGCTCCCATTGGCCCACATCATTCCGACGCCCCCACACACACACGTTTTGGGGGTGTGGACATGACGTGGGCCAAATCAAATGTTAGTTAAGGATATTTTAACTTTCCTAGCCCTGTCCACTTTGCCCTATCGTGGTTTCTGTTTCAGTACCCTTTAGTGCATTCTTTGATCTATTGTGTTTATTCTGATATTGACCTTGGCTTTGTATCGGACTCTGAATTTATCTTTAACCCTTTCCTGTCTTGTTTGCCTGTGTGACTGATTATCGTGTACCTGACTCTGACTAGTTCTCATTTTTGCTGTCTCTCCATTACCTTGACCTCGGCTCGTCTCTGATTATGCTTTTTCTCTGTCTAACGTTTAGTCCGGCCATTCTAAGACCCGGTAATGTGTTATTTCCTAGTCTTGTCCCATGCTATCCTAGACTCTGTATGTTGGGGTATTACACCATGACAGTAGGCACAAAAAAACCTCAGAATCTTTTTTTTTTTTTTTTTTTATCCGTCTCCGTTTCCTTTGTGCTCTCTAGGTTTTTACATAGTTTAAAATATTTTTTAAAATGTACTTATACATTTGTTTCACTGATCTTCATAGGTGAAGTCAGAGGCATAACTAGAGACCATCCTGCTGCAAAAATTGCCCTACCCTCCCCATGTCTCTTATCCAAATCCAGCCCCTTCATGTGTCTTATTCTTCCCCCCCAGTCCTTCCATGTGTCTCTTTCTCCCCACCAGCTCCTCCATGTGTCTCATTCTATCCACCCCGGCCTCTCCATGCATCTCATTCTCCCCACCAGCTCCTCCATGTGTCTCATTCCACCCCACCCCGGCCTCTCCATGCATCTCATTCTCCCCACCCCGGCCTCTCCATGCGTCTCATTCTCCCCACCAGCTCCTCCATGTGTCTCATTCCACCCCACCCAAGCCCCTCCATTTGTCTCATTCTATCCACCCCGGCCTCTCCATGCATCTCATTCTCCCCACCAGCTCCTCCATGTGTCTCATTCCACCCCACCCAAGCCCCTCCATTTGTCTCATTCTATCCACCCCGGCCTCTCCATGCATCTCATTCTCCCCACCAGCTCCTCCATGTGTCTCATTCCACCCCACCCAAGCCCCTCCATTTGTCTCATTCTATCCACCCCGGCCTCTCCATGCATCTCATTCTCCCCACCAGCTCCTCCATGTGTCTCATTCCACCCCACCCAAGCCCCTCCATTTGTCTCATTCTATCCACCCCGGCCTCTCCATGCATCTCATTCTCCCCACCAGCTCCTCCATGTGTCTCATTCCACCCCACCCAAGCCCCTCCATTTGTCTCATTCTATCCACCCCGGCCTCTCCATGCGTCTCATTCTCCCCACCAGCTCCTCCATGTGTGATACGTATTTGCCTTTATAAGAAGCTCTCTGGTTATAGTTATTGAAATGTATCCATTTCTATGATAAACAGCAATTTGAACATCTGACTCTTATATTCCCTTTGTTTCTCTTTCACTCAGAGCCAAAGCCAGACAGCAGAGCTGTGTATAGAGCTATTGGCATTATTGCTGCAGTGATTTTCTCCATCTCTGTCCTTGGAACGTTTATTTGGAGGAAGCGATCAGGTAAGTGAGAGAGGTTGTCTCCAGTTACTTTTATAATACAATGGTACAATAAGGCACCTTATAAGGATCTCGGTATAAGAAAGCAGTGCTACAGGATTTCCCTGCAAGTGAACAGACATTATAATCACTATAACGTGAACACATGTGTAGTCACCCTGACACTCTCAATCCAGCATTGCAACTAGGTAGAACTCTCCCTGTAGTATTACTGTGTATGACTTGCCCTTCTGTCATTGGCTGTTTCTTTGGTTAAGCTTCTCTCAGCAGACCCTTTCCTGGGGTGCAGATAAGTATTTTCTTCCTGCCCTCTAATTGAGTCCAGCCTTTGGATCCTTGGCCATAGAAAGATAATGGCAGAATGGGGATTTGTGTATTGAGATTTATTGTCCTCAAACACCAGGAAGGAACACTATTATTAGCCAACAACAATTCTCTCCTTTTCCTTTTTTCTCCTTTTTTACAAGGACTCTACTTCTTCTTTCTCCTATTCTACAAATACTCTGCTCCTTCTTTCTTCTATTCTACAAGTACTCTGCTCACAGACACACATACACACACTCACATATACACTTACAGACACACACACTCACAGACAAACACACACATACACTTACATACACACACTCACAGAGAAACACAGACATACACACACACATACACACACAGACACACAAATTATTAATATTAAATGTCCACCCAGCCTCCCTACCTAAATCTGTCCCTGGGGTCCAGTGGGGCTTCACTTCGACAGGCGGCAGAGTTCTAATCTGAGGCGGCGAGGGAGCTCTAACCTCTCTGCTCTGCTCCCTCGCGGGCTGTCTACTGATGCCAGGAGCCGGAATATGACATCATATTCCGGCTCCCGCGGCATCAGCAGTCATCGCGCGAGGGAGCAGAGCAGAGCAGAGAGGTTAGAGCTCCCTCGCCGCCTCGGATTATAACTCTAATAATGCATCTTGGGAGATCAGCCCCTTTATATGTTTAGTATATCTGTAACTGACTTGGAACACAAACTATATTAACGTTGAAACAATGTATCCTTGCAGCTCAACTAACCAGGAACAGCAGTCTTCTGACATCCGTTAATCAGACCTGAAGAGGCAGATTATGCCAATTACTTCACTGTGTTACCTTCCTTATAAGTGTCTGAATTATATAATCCTATTTATAGTGTACAAATCAAGTCACCCAATCAGTAATTACAATTGTAGTACTTACAATTATTATATTGCTGCAATCAGACTTTTGGTGATTTGTTAGTTTAAATCACTGTAATTTTTCTTCTTATGTAAACCTTTTGTCTATTACTGTGTCCTGCCCCATATGTCACAGATAAAAGGGGGCATTGGAATATGCTGACTGTCAAAAGTATCAGGGAGAATATTCCTCCTCATCTACTTGAATTTGTATAGCTTGTGTCAGAGACCTTTAAAATATAATATTTATTTTGTAGTGTGCAGTACTATTTATACCCACAAGATGGACCAATGTACCATAAAAGCAATGCTACTTACTTTGTTTCTGATTTCTATGTAGCTTGCTTTAATGCATGGTAGAATTGGATATATATATATATGTAATTTGGCACACCGTGGCAATCAGCTTTAGATGCATAAAATTGGTACACCATGGCAATCCATTTTAGATTTATAAACTTGGCACATCATGGCAACTTTAGGTGCATAAAATTGGCACACCATGGCAATCAGTTTTAGAGACTTACAATTGGCACACCATGGCAACAAGCTTTAGAGGCATAAAATTGGCACACCATGGCAATCGGTTTTAGAGGCTTACACTTACAGGGGGGCAGTGAGTGAAGGAGTTACAGGGGGTGAATCGTTTACAGGGGGGCAGGGAGTGAATCGTTTACAGGGGGGCAGGGAGTGAAGGGGCCACAGGGGGGCAGGGAGAGAAGGAGTTACAGGGGGGGCAGGGAGTGAATGGGTTACGGGAGGGTGGGGGCAGGGTCTGTGTCCTACCTTTTAATAAATTCCCTGTGGTTCTCTGGTCTGAGCTCTGCCGGGTGCAGAGCTGCAGACCGTGTAATAAAAGTCTCATGAGCTCCCAGAGTGTTGCCATTGTAACACTCTGGGTGCTCGCAAGACTTCGATCACACAGTCTGCAGCTCTGCACCCGGCGCAGCTGCAGACCGGAGGTGCTGGGCAGACTGATTGGAGGGAGCCCGGCGGTATACAGGGCAAGCCGCCAGGCTCCCTCCTGGTGTCGGGCCCGCGGTCACGGACCGAGAGCCCGACTAATCAGTCTGCCTGACTAGCCGGCGGCCCTGCATGTGTGGGTCAGCGTGACCCACTGGGGATCGCCCTGCGACCCACACTTTGGGAACCGCTGGCATAGTAGATAACATGGATTTATTAATACAGTAAGACTGTCACTATCCATTAAAGTCCCTTACCTCTTGTGTCACTTAACCCATCTCCCTCTAAAATGTAAGTTCTTTTGAGCAGGGCCCTCAACACTCTCTGTACCTGTGCATCCAGCTCGTCTTGTTGCAAATACATGCCTGTTAGTCCACCTATTGTACAGCGCTACATAATTTGTTGGAGCTTTGTAAACAATAATAATAATAGCCCTTTACCAAATGGTACAGGCTTTTACATAGAACCATTCGGGCTGTAAAATATGACCACTTTACATAGTATTTGGTCTAGATTTAGCATTTCTGGCTCAAAATGATGCAGAACCATGTCTGTATTTCAGTCAGACTGAGCTGGAAAGATGAAATCCAGAACTCCATGCTTAAAGGGACACTCCACTGCCCAAATTTAAAAAAAACAAAAAAATACCCTCATTGTTTAGTAAATGCATTAATTTAATTATGCCTTATTTTCATTGGAGTTCTATCTAAAATCAGTTTGAAAAACCTGCAGTTCTATTGATTGAAGCCTTTGCAAGCCCTCCCCTTCTAATCCAGCCCAGACTTTCTGTGGTTGTCCAATGCAGCTCAATGAGAAGATTTTGCAAAGCAAAGTTTTTGCTCTGGGTAATGGCTGCCTCACGAGTTTAGTTCCACTGACCTAAACAAAACCAGGAAGTAACAGGACCTGTTGTCTGATTGACAGCTAGGGGAGTGTAACCAGGTTAATTCATAAAAGTGTCAGTTTCAATTGAAATCGGCACTTTTTGTAAAATGAAAAAAGAGGACACACTCTCTTCGTGCCTTAGGGGTCAGGAGTATACTTTTAATATGTGGGCCCAGATTGTAAGTGTGATAGCATTCAGCGAGAAAATGAATTGGAAAAAAAAAGAAAACCTTGACAGCATGAAAATTAAATTATCTAACAGCTGGCTAGTGCTAGCTTGCCAGCCACCACATGAAAAAATAAATAAATAAAAATAATCCTATGGGGGTCAATATGATCCCATCTAACTTTTGTGAAGTTTAATTCCTGCACAGGGCATATCTACTATACAGTGAGCAGGTAACTAGTTTTATGCTGGTCTGTAAAGCGAGTGATAACGGGATTAGTGAAAAAGGGACAGGATACATTTACAGAGGTATTCTCTATAGTGAGATTTTCAAATGTAGGGCCAGAGCAGGCCAGAGGATTTCTATAGTTCGTCTATTTACACATTAATTTGAAATTAACTTTAAATCCAAAAGTATTGTATTTATATTTACTTTGTATTTTATGCAGTTTTGTGAACATTTTATTGTATTTTTCGATTTCCTCTGCAGTCATCTAGCGACTTTCAAATGATAAAGAAATGTCCCAGCAAGTCCTTTTATTAAAGTGTCTTTAGTGTAAAAATCAGCCATGTTTTAACCACAACTGTGATCTTTGTGATCTCTGTCGAGCTGACTATGCCACACAGTAAGTGCATTAAATATGTGCTGTATATCAGCTTGACAAAGCTCACAGTTATGGCCACACGTGGCTGATTTTTACATTGAACACACTTTAATAAAAAGGACTCTGTGCTGTAGTTATTAGCTGACGAAAAAACGCATGTTAAAATGTTTACAAAATTACATAACATATAACTGAAATATAAATAGAAATTGTGTATGTTTTATTGCATAATAAGCACTAAACTTACCCTGAAGCATTTCCCCTCATCTTGTTAACACTTGCTTTACAGAGCAGCAAGAAACTTGTTACCTGCTCACTGTGTAGTAGAAATGCCATCACTGTAGCATGCGTAGCAAACTGGTGGAACATTTCTTTATTGTTTGTACATACAGGTGCAAGAAAAAGTATGTGAACCCTTTGGAATGATATGGATTTCTGCACAAATTGGTCATAAAATGTGATCTGATCATCATCTAAGTCACAACAATAGACAATCACAGTCTGCTTAAACTAATAAAACACAAAGAATGAAATGTTGCCATGTTTTTATTGGGCACACCATGTAAACATTCACAGTGCAGGTGGAAAAAGTATGTGAACCCTAAATACGCCTTCTGAAGTGGCCCAGTCAGAGTCCTGACCTCAACCCAATTGAGATGCTGTAGCATGACCTCAAGAAAGCGATTCACACCAGACATCCCAAGAATATTGTTGAACTGAAACCGTTCTGTAAAGAGGAATGGTCAAGAATTACTCCTGACTGTTGTGCACGTCTGATCTGCAACTACAGGAAATGTTTGGTTGAAGCTATTGCTGCCAAAGGAGGTTCAACCAGTTGTTAAATCCAAGGGTTCACATACTTTTTCCACCTGCACTGTGAATGTTTGCATGGTGTGGTCAATAAAAACATGGCAACATTTCATTCTTTGTGTGTTATTAGTTTAAGCAGACTGTGATTGTCTATTGTTGTGACTTAGATGATGATCAGATCACATTTTATGACCAATTTATGCAGAAATCCATATCATTCCAAAGGGTTCACATACTTTTTCTTGCACCTGTATTTAAGTTAAAATTTTTTTACAGGAAAACCTGTAATATAAGAAACAGCAACTAACAGCAATGGAGTAAACAAAACCGTAAAGAGAGGTTTTTTTTTCTTAATAAAGCGATGCATTATTTCCAACGACTCTCTAGTCTTTGTATTTTATTGGAGTGAAATTATTTATTTCATATAATAAAATTTACTGTAAATTCAGTTGTCTATTTTTTGTGTATTTATTGAAAATGTCAAACTATTTACAAATGTGACCAAGTTTACTGAAGAAGTCATATTGTATGGTCTGTCCTATGAAAACATGAAATTAATTCTGAAGTGTGTGAAGTGAATAAAGAAAAGCAGAATGTGTAGTTCCTATAATAATAAAAAAATATCTGTTCACCGGCTGCAATTTGAAATCAAACTGCTTGAGCGATGTCCAAGTCAATGAGTATTTGCTGGTCACCTGCAGCAAACTGGGATAATGGACCACACAGAGAGTCAATCATATGGTGTCAGTTCTAACTCTAAATATGCTGCTGGCCAGGCCACAGACAGTTACATATGGTGTTATTAAATATTACTGCTAACATTGATTTAAAATCAATTACATGTAAGTTGTTTCCAAAGCTACATGTTAAGAGATCATACGTGTGTGTTTTTCTCCTTCGTATATAAGCAGCAGCATCTGACATTCTTGGACCTCACCATAACTAAAAATATACATTAAAAAAACAAAAAACATTGGTTAGACTCTAGCCATCTGTTTGTTCCTGGCTCCATTGTTGGTCTGTAGTTTATTTGTTTTTGGTTCTTGCTATTAAATTGTCCAATATTCATTTTATACTTGATCAATTTCTGTTCTGGGATTGGAGGACACTTAGTGCTGGTGTTGGGGGACACATTTTAGCAGGTATACTTACTAGCATTACAGCACACATTTGCAACAGAGAATATACACACACAGTTTGTCATTATATCACAAGGCCAAACACACATACTTGTGGTCACACCTAGCTAAGGTAAGAAATAGAAATGGACAGAGGTCAATTACAGGTCCCTAGAGTTATCCAGGATTAAGGCTGAGAGAGATAAATAGTAACTTGAGGGACAGGTCCCAAAAGTTCAAATCAAGTTAAGGTCTAGGGCACAATAAGGTAACAAGAGTGAATAAACAAGTCAGGTTCAAAGATTATGCAATGTAGAATGGTCAAGGACAAGCCAAAAGCAGAAGTCCAGGAATCACTACTAATTAGAATGCGCTCTTGAGTTACCATAAGGAAAACTACGACAGGGCAAGAAAGGGAGACTTAAATAGGCTTAGAAAGTCTGTTATTAGATGGTGTCATACCTGCGATGCCAAATGGTGCAGAGGGGATTTTGAAGAAATCACAGGTAGATTTGCAAATGATGAAAGGAGTTTGAGCTCCGTACATTTAAGCATGTTTGGAGTGACTAGTGTCAAAATGATGCCAGAATGACGCTGGTTGTTGGAATGCATAGCAGAATTACACACAGACCTAGCAGGTACTGAGTGCTGAGATTGGAGAACACATTACCTGCAGACACACAGTAGTGTACCAGCTTCCAGGTGTCTGTGGCCATAGCATTCTCTAGTAGAAGAAACCACTTTGTTCTATAGAGTGAAGCAGGACCATGCAGGGCTGTGCTATTGGCTGAGAGGGTCTGCTCTACACTCTAAGCCAATGAGTGCAGTCCTGTATCAGCCATGCTTTATTCTATAGCAGGTTGGGCACCTAGGGACTCAAGTAACTTACTAAAACAATTTAACTACTTACGGTGGGCTGTTGGGATTACGGTGCCTTTTCTTTTAATCTGGTTTCTCCAAGTGTCAATAAGGGAAAATATATTAAAAACATATTTATATGGAATTGGAATGTTAATTTGATAATTATAACACAGTAGTGTATGAGCCACCACTGATATAAAACCTATTGATCTCTGTGATTCAGTGATATTTAGCCCCTGTAAATGTATTTTTAGAACAAGGCCAAAGACAGCAGGTTTACCATCTAATTGATATATTTCATTAAAAGAAATTCCATAACTAAATGTGTAGTTTTAGATTTAAAAATCATAACTAAGAACCTGGATGTAAAAACGGAACCTTCATCTAGTTTCCCTTTCGCTCTGAGCTTCTACAATCTTTATGTCTCAACTTGAAATTACACATTCCAATTTTGAGAAAATCTCCAGCATCATCCAATCAGCATGGACCCCAGAGCTGCATTTGTGCAGAAACCAGCTGATTTCTGGGAAATCCCAGGCTAGCTTAATCTATTACAGTTTGTGATACTATGTAACTTCTCAGATACTATATTACTGCCCAGCCCAGCAATATAATGTGTCCGTCCTGCAGCTTCTAGTACTGGGTGAGAGTGAGAGTAAGTAGCATGTCTCGTAGCCCATAGACAACGAGGATCGAGTGCAAGCTCTGTTTACAGAGTTATTCTGAGATGTCTTTTCT